AGGAGATACGCAAAGGACAATTGGAGGATGAAAAACTTAAAGAGATAGCAGAGAATGTAGTGCTTGGAAAGGCACCCGTTTCGAATGGATGAGAATGGAACTCTTTGGTTCGGGAAAAGGATATGTGTACCGGAAGTGAAAGCTATCCGAGATGCAATTCTCAGCAGAGGCCCATGAGTCTCCTTATTCTATACATCCCGGAAGTACCAAGATGTACTTGGATCTCAAAGAAAAGTATTGGTGGTATGGTTTGAAGAGAGATGTGGCAGAATATGTGGCTTTGTGTGACACTTGTCAAAGAGTGAAAGCTGAGCATCAAAGACCTGCAGGGTTACTACAACCAATGAAGATCCCTGAATGGAAATGGGAAGAAGTTGGCATGGATTTTATTGTAGGATTACCCCAAGCACTCAAAGAGGTTATGATTCAATATGGGTAATAGTGGATCGACTCACCAAGGTCGCTCACTTTTTACCAAATAAGACTACATATAATGGTGCAAGATTAGCAGAGTTATACATGGAACGAATAGTGTGCTTACATGGTGTTCCCAAGAAAATTGTGTCGGATAGAGGCACCCAATTTACATCGCAATTCTGGCATAAAGTACATAGATCTTTGGGAACAAAGTTGAATTTCAGTTTTGCTTACCACCCGCAAACCGATGGATGTGATCGAAAGGATCAACCAGATTTTGGAAGATATGTTGAGAGCATGTGCACTTCAGTATGGTGATAGTTGGGATAAGAGTCTGCCTTACGCAGAGTTCTCATACAACAACAGTTATCAAAAGAGCCTCAAGATGGCACCTTTCGAGGCGTTGTATGGACGTAAGTGTAGAACACCTTTGTTCTGGAATCAGACTGGAGAAACCCAAGTGTTTGGTCCTGATGTCCTTAGAGACGCGGAAGAGCAAGTAAGAATGATTAGAGACAATTTGAGAGTAGCTCACCTCTCAAGAAGAGTTACTGTTGATACTCGCAGAGAAGAGAGTCGACTTTCGAGATTGATGATTATGTGTACCGAAAGTGTCACCAATGAGAAGTGTGAGAAGATTCAATATAAAGGAAAGTTAGCCCCAAGGTATATAGGACCTTTTAAGATCCTAGAGAGACGTGGAGAAGTAGCTTATCAGTTGGAATTGCCTGAGAGCTTGTCCGGTGTGCACGACGTGTTCCATGTTTCCCAGTTGAAAAAGTGTCTGAGGGTACCTGAAGAACAAATTCCTTTAGAAGAACTTGTTGTCAAGGAAGATCTTACTTATGAAGAGTATCCGATAAAGATCTTGAAACTCGCCAAAGAGTTACGAGAAGCCGAACAATAAAGATGTGCAAGGTACAAAGGAATCAATACGAAGATGAGGCTACTTGGGAAAGAGAAGAGGATCTGAGAAAGACTTATCCCCAACTGCTTGAGTAAGCAATCACCCTAATCTCGAGGACGAGATTCATCTTAAGGGGGTAGAATTGTAACACCCTAAATTTGCATTTTCTAAAAATAACCAAATTGATTTAATTAAGCAATTTTGGTGAGCATTGAAATATAGGAAATAAATAATTTTGTGAAAACTAAAATCAAATATAAGGTTAGTCATAAGTGATGCATACATGTCGTTGCATATTTATTTTGAGATGAATGGTTTTGATTCGAATTCCAAATGAGTTCAAAATCTAATTGAAATTTGTATTTAAAATGCTTTTGGAAAATTTGTTTGGAAAAAGAAAAGGAAAATTCCTCTTTCCCTCTCTTCTGGACTTTCGCCCCATGGCCATTTCTTTCCCATGTGACCCTTGTGCCCACAGCCTCAAATTAGTGCAACCGGTGCCGCGCTCGTTTCGTTCTACTCGCTGCTCGCCCAAAGAAGCCTCACTCCTACCCACTCACGCCGCCAACCGCCCACGCCTCAAGGCCGGCCGGGCCCACCACTGGCCCCACCTGTCTTGCCTGCTCTCCTTCAAGCTGCTTAAGAATCGCCGCGCTGGCACAAGAAGAATCATTACCACGATCAAGCGTCGTGGGGCGTCCCCTCCGCTCCTCGGCCTCGATAAATAGGAGCCGAGCCCCTCTCGCGCCCTAGCTGCCCGCTCGCCTTCGCCCTCGCTCTCGGCCGCAACCGACGCGACGGAGAAGCTCCACGGCCCGCCCTCACCTCCACACACCGAGCCGCCTCCGTCTCCATCCTTCCCATTGTGAGACTCCCCATGATCCCCTTTACCTCCCCAAGCCGTTTAATTTGAGTTTCATGGTGTCTAGTGCCCGCTTAAGTCGCCTGAATGCTCTCGGCCGCGGCCATGGTGTCCCGCCGCCCTTCCCTCCCACTGATTTCTTGGCATGGACGTGTTCGCCCGCTCCCTCTCGTTTCTCCCGGTGCTCTCGGATTCGAAAACCGAGGCCCGTGAGGCTGTTACCCGCCACCGGTGATCTCCACGCCACGGCCATGGCTTGCCTCGCCAGAGTCAATGTTCCGTGGTAAAACCCCCCAGTTAATCCGAACCGGCCCATCGCGCATCAATCAATCGGAAATAGAAGATACCCTTCGGGGTAAATTTGCTAAAGAGTCCTGGATTTTTCTAAGTCCTAACCCGCCGTCCTTAGCGTATTTCTCCGAATGCGCAAACCTGTTTAGAAAGCGTAAACTTCATTTGTTAAGTCAAAAGTACGCTTTCAAGATTTTCGTAAATGCCATTCGAACTGCTTTAACTTATAGAATTGTCGTTTTAACTCTGAATTGACCCATTCAAATCGCGTTAGCTTCGTAATTTCATAAGCTACATGTTGGAGCTACTGTTAGTCAAGTTTGGAACTTTTTAATTTCATGATTAGAATTAATTAAATATAGGGCTTTTGGAAAACCCGTTTTAATCATAACTTTCGCATTGTAGCTCCGCTTTTCGTGAACTTCGCGTTGACGTGATCGTAGCGAAACGTAGATTAGTTTTACAAACATTTTATCTTGTTTTCAATACTGTTGGTGTACTGTTCTAATGATAGGAATGTTTGCTTTGCATGAATGCTTTTGGAATGTTGTATGTTGCCGCGTGTTGGTCGCGTTGACGGTGAGAGGAAAACGTTGGAGACCAAGAACTCTTGACGACCAGCGGGACCAGCACGAATTTGTAAACCAAGGCAAGTATAACATGGGCCTTCCTTGATGTCCTATTTCATTCTAAGCAATTACTCATTTGCATGTGTCTAATTTTGATACCCGTAAGGACATCCTAGTGATTGTTATCCTGTTCCTTGTCTCCTATGGGTTAAATGCATATGGGTAGATTGCTAGTGCTCTAACCGAACTTGATATACATGTTGATGAATAATACTATGGAACAAAGTGAGTGACATGATGTATAACAACTGTTTCATAGGGCGAAAGAGCAAATGACCTTTGTTCATGTTGCTCCCCTACCCTCCATAAGGACTTATCTGCTTTAAAAAGCTGGACCGACAAAGGTAAATCCGGAGAGTCATATGGCTCGACTTTAGCTCAATAATAGGACCTTTTCTAGCTAGTTAGAGGTTACCTTTTTGGCGCAAATGGGGCTTGCCACGTTGGGTATAGGACCGCCTCTGTTCCTATGTGTATATAGCTGATGGATATGTGCCATAGGAAAGGGGGGTTCTACATCTGCCGCCAAGGAAACCTAGCGGCCCTAACTTGTTAGGGAAACCTATGAAATGGCTTCATAGTGTACCCCGCCTGCTCACCTTGGAAGTGACATGGGAGTAATTAACCCGGGCATATGGGGATCACGACTCATGGTGAATGTGCACCACCTCTGCAGAGGGTAACAAATCATTATAACAGTAGTGCTCACTGATTCTGGCGGCTTGAAAACTCATGTAATAACTGGATACTTGATGATGATCTTATAAAGTTGTTTAGTGATGATATATGGTACATATGACTCAATATATGTTCTTATGGGAATTAAATGGGAGCTTAAGCATAACTTGATAATACTTGAGAATAAAAGCTTGACCTATTTAAAATGCTAACTGCAGCTAACTGTAGTCTAACCTTTTGAGCTTCATAACCCCATGTTAGCTTGCTAAGTACGGAATGTACTTACACTTGTTTATTTTCTTTACTTGGATAAAAATCCCTTGATGGGTAATGAGATAACAACGGGTATGAGGATTTCCGAGGAGGATTATTAGGCTTGTGGTCAACCAGTTGACCTTCCCCGTGAAGACGGCCACGAGAGTTTTATCATCTTTTTATTATTCCGCTGTGATGTATAAGACTAAGTTTTATTATAACTCTGATGTATGAGACACCGTGATGATACTTTATGTAATTTGTCAGCTTGTATGTGTGATTGATTCCTGGGCACACACGAGTTTTGTGCATTCAATTTTATCCTTAAAATTGGGTGTGACATAACTGATGATGAGATAGGACTGCTACTGGCTGGGAGGTTTAGAGGCAGGGCGAGCATGTGTGCGATCCCCAAAGTCCCAAAGTGGCGACTGGCGAGGCGAGGGTCGGTCATGCACATAAGTGGAGACCGTATCTTTATCCGGTGTCCGGACGGACCCTTGGTCCGAATCGCACGGATACACGGGCAGGATAAACGCGCAACGGTCAGGCCGATTTGGCACATCCACGTCGGGCCCGTCGGCGAATGGCGACTGCTTCACTTGTTCAATGCAGTCACGGCTCTGCTAACTTTGTTTTTTTTTTTTGAGCAAATGCTGACTTTATTGTGAATTGAAACATTATTGTTTGCGTGGAGGCCTCTCGCAGCCCAAGTGCCTCTGAGGTCGGCCCCATAGAAAGCGGGCCGTTTCGGAAGGAAGCCATCGGACTGGAATTGTGGGCCGGGCCGGTAGAAAATCACATGGAGGGAGGAGAGAACAGCCGCCGCTGCAAGCTCCTCGCCGACGCTCCCTCCACCCGCGCCGGCGCTGCTCCTAAAACCACCCGAGTTAAACCCTAGCAGCGATTCCTCTCCAGTCTCCAGGTCTCCAGCTCGATCGCGATCGGAGATCAGGAATCCATGGCCGCCCCAACCGCCGCGCCGCTCGACGAGGGCAAGGCGAAGAAAGTCCTCCGCCAGGTTCGCGATCCCGCTTTGTTGCCCCAGCTGCACAACTTTTTTTTTCTCTCTTTCCCGTGCGATTTTCTGAAAAGTACGTATCTGATTTGGTTGCCCCAGGTGGAGTTCTACTTCAGCGACAGCAACCTCCCCCCCGCGACAAGTTCCTGCGGGAGACGGTCGAGCAGAGCGACGACGGATGTAACGCCCACTTGCTCCATGTTCCTGCTGTTTGGTTGGTTTGGTTTTGTGGGCGAGCTGCTGAATTCTCTGTTGTTTTTGCCAACTGTGCAGTGGTGAGCCTGCCCTTGATATGCTCCTTCTCGCGGATGAAGTCCCACCTGGGGCTGGACGCAGATGTGAAGGCCGAGACTATGCCAGAGGAGACCGTGCTTGCGGTTGCTGAGGTGCTCCGGCGTTCTCCAGTCCTCCGTGTATCGGAGGATGGTAAGCCAATTCCTGCCCTTCCCTCACCTTTTTCAGGAAGTTTGGTTTAGTTTTGTCACAAGCTAAGCACCTGAGCTTTGTAGCAGAGATTTAATGTAAATCTTGTATTTCTCAATTCAGTTGAGATTTTAGATTGTCCTTTCTCCATTAAAAATATCGACAAATGTAGATCCCTTGAGCTTGAATTATGAACAAGTTGTGGCTAGCACTTGTATGTACGGCCCACAGTCTTAAGGTGACGCCGTGCATTGGCTTGCACTTGATTATGATCTCTAAAAAAGGCGTATTCCAGTCTGAGAGAGCCCCGCTCATGACGGGGTCCAGGAAGGTGTCGATGGCAAGCCTTACCCTCGCATGTGCAATGTGAGGAGACTGCGACTCGAACCCGGGACCTTCCGGTCACAGGCGGTAAGACTCTACCGCTTGCACCAGGCCCGCCCTTCTTTGATTATGATCTCTGCTTTACGAATATACTGAAAAGTGGATTTTAGTATGAACTTCTATTGTAAGTCAAGGGACATGGTTCTGTAGAATGAATAGTTGATTTAAGAGGTGGATTGGAATGAAACTGTGTTAGTTTACTTTTACTGGACTTCAATTGCAGGAAAGAAGATTGGTAGAGCTAGTGAACTCTTGAAGCCAGATGAGATCATAGAACAAGTGGACTCTAGGACCATTGCTGTATCTCCGCTGCCTTACAATGTAAAGCTGGAAGACGTACAATCGTTTTTCACAAATTATGCGAAGGTGTGTTCTATTTATTTTCATTCAAATACTGCAGTTAATGTGCTACTGTTTGGTTAGGAAATGGATTGGATGGAACAGAAATATGATGTATAATAACCAACTGTGCATATATTTCATTCAATTTGTTCAATATGGCAGATCAAGATGTTTAACTTGTAATAAAAAAACAGCATCATGGCAAACTGCCTAAGCATAGATAAATATAATTATCTGTTCTGCTCTGCCATGTGTCCTGTTCAGGTCCTTGACTACTTATTTCTGTTCTATTAGTATTCTTTTGCAGTATGGTTTGCTTCCGACGCGAAAGATATCTGATGACTTTAATAGTTATGATGCCTTTTTCAAGTTATGCTGTTAATCTGCAATGGAAGTAGATGAATTGTGCAGTCGTGTTGTGTAAATAACATAATATTTTTTGTGTGCTTCTGTATAAATTCATAGGTAAACAGTGTCAGACTTCCACGCAATATTGTCAACAAAAAGCACTTCTGTGGGACTGCTTTGGTTGAGTTTTCTGAAGAAGAGGAAGCAAAAAGTATTATGGACAAAGCTTTAGTATTTGCAGGGGCAAATCTGGAAATAAGGCCAAAGTTAGCCTTTTCTATTTGTGCTCATTAATGCCTTCATAATATGATCTAGTTTCCTGCCTTTGGGAACTTGTTTTCCTTCCTTTTCATTGCCATTGGAATGTATTATGATAGGCTAACCATTTTTCTAACTATTTTGAATCTAAGTGAACATCTTTATTCACACAGATTTCATGTCCTGACTTGTTTACATGTTTGGTATTTTAACTCAGTAACATCTTTGATATTTTGACTGTTATTACTTACCTGAATTATGAAGGAAGGAGTTTGATGCCGAACAGGAGTCCAAAAAAGAAGCATATGAAAAGGCACGCCCTAGAAAGGACAACCAGGATGAAGGGTGAGTATCTGTATCTTACAGCATATTTGGTCAATTATTATTATTATTTTTGTCTCTTATAGTCCTTGAAATTTGGTGCAGCTATCAAAAAGGTCTAATTGTGGCCTTCAAATTGAAGAAGACAACGGTTGATTCTGTGGTGCAGCAAGATAACACAGGCGAAGGGAATGACTCTGCCACGAAATTAGAAGTTTCTAGTTCCATGGAAAAACTCTCAGGCCAGGGGCCAGAGTCCACCCTTGAGAGCGATGATACTAAGCAAGGGAAGTCCTCAGATGACATGACCAAAGAGAAAGAACTAAACACTGGGGATGCTACAGAATCTGAGAAGTGTATTGGTGATGCCCCGGTAGAAAGTGATAAACATGGTGATAGTGAATCATTGAGCAGGGATGGCAAAAGCATTTCTGGCATTGTGAATGTGAAGAACCAAATATCAAGGGAGGATCTAAAAGAAGCATTCAAAAAATTTGGAAATGTTCGGGTAATGATAATTCATGCCACTTTCTGTTTTCTGGTTCTGTTAGTTTAACAGTAATACTTCCATTTTATTGTCTTGAAGTGAAATGGCATGAGCTTCTTTTCACTTTTCTGGCCTATCATGTAGATAGGAAGTATATCACTTTTTACAAATTCACCTATGCTCAACAAGTGTCACCGAGGACTCAAATTTCAGTTCATGGATTCCATGGGTAAATTCTTTGTTTGCCTCTTTTCGTTCTCTCTCGAATATGCAGGAGAGTTGCATATCATTATATTAAGAATGAAAAGGTGTTTAGACAACTCATACAACCCCTAAAGGGCGTACCCAGTGCAGAGAGCTCCCGCTCTGTGCGGGGTCTGGGGAAGGGTGTTAGTGGCAAGCCTTACCCTCGCCTGTGCAATATGAGGAGACCGCGACTCGAACCCGGGACCTTCCGGTCACAGGCGGTAAGACTCTACTGCTTGCACCAGGCCCGCCCACCCCTAGTGGGGAAATTTTATTGTTTGCCACAATAACTTGCACTTATGTGCTCTGCCTCTAATTAAGTGTTTTCTCCTATGCCATACATTTTCAAAACATTTTTAACCATGTGCCATCGAAGTCAGCCATCTGACCAATTTGCTTGCCTTTAAGTATATACAAAGACCATTTTTCTACCCTGTAAGTCGGGCTTAACTGCAGTGCCCCTACTTGCCATTCTTTCATTCCTGTTCTATCTATACCTTTTGGAATGGGACCCATGGGTATTCTGCAGGTAATTTATATAGACAGACTACCTGGCTGTATTTGTCCTGTCTTCTAGTTTGAAATTCCTCCCTCTCTTTTGTCCTTCCTGAATTCCTTTACTCTTCTGCGTCTGTCATCCTCAGGCTGCTAGATGGTAGTTCCCGATGACTAGCACGAGATGTGCTACCTGCTGCCTCACTGTTGCCCTTGCTGCTATGCTTTACTGATCATGGTAGTGGCTGGAGGCCATTTAGGGAGTTGGATAGCTATTTTTCTTGAAAATTCTGACATGCTTAATGGCTGCGCGGATGCAAAAATTATGACTCTTCTGGCATGGAGAGCATATTTGAAAGAAAGATGGGGTGGTAGTAGTAGGCACATTTTCACTGGCAGGCATGTTAGGGAACTGAGTTATTTGGTGCCAGTTGATGATGAATCACCTCCCCTGGCACACCAGTTGCCAAAACTCTCCTGGGCGTTTGAGAATTTTTTTTTTGTTTAATGATACATATACTTTCCTTTGCCTTTCAAAATGCTGTGACTTCTTTAGGATCAATTGGTTATTTACCGGCACATGTTCTGAAATTTCGTTAACGGAAACATCACAATTTACGGCCACGATGCTACTGAATCGAAATTCATATTTGAATACCAAGTAATGGCATTCTGCATCTTATTTACCTTCAGCACTTGTTGATATGATGTATTTTCTTTAAATATGTTTCCTCCTGAAGTATGTGGACTTCAGCATCGGGGATAATTCAGGATACCTTCGCTTTGAAGATTCTAAGGCAGCTGAAAAGGCTCGCATGTCCGCTGTACTTGCTGATGAAGGTGGCTTGATAATTAAAGACCACATTGTTACTTTGGAGCCTGTGACTGGTAAGAACAGCAGCTGCTCTTTATTGGCTTTGATCTTGAATTTAATTTATTCTGTTATAAGTTGCTCTAGTAACAAATTAGTGTCCTTATGGTCATTTAGGAATTAGGAGCTCAAAAAGCAAAATTTTGACCGCCAGTTTCTGTTCCGTTGTTTTTGCAAGTCTAATAAAATTTCGATACTATGGAAGTATTTTTTCAGACAATTCAGAATCATTTTCTTGTGGCTTGTCTTGATATTTATAAATATATTATTGACAGAGTTAATTTGGGTTTACCCATTCTAGGAACACACTTTTATTTTACCAGAGGTGGAAACAGTTACTAGTGTAGAAAAAGTTTTTCTTTTTCTTTTTGTTCGGTTTGGTTTTCTTCTCTCAGCTTATTAATGAATATTGAATAGCATCCTTGCTGTAGAAGTTGTCATTCCACTTTATGGTGGTATACTTGGTGGGATCAGTTTTCATCAATGTTTGGCAATGGTAACTGAATGCACCAGATAGGAATTATGTTTTCAGATCTTAGGTAGTACCTACTATATGTTTTTGCAGGTGAAGCTGAGAAGGATTATTGGAATACAATTCGCGGCATTCAAGGAAAGTACAAGGATAGTAGAAGCTACAAGGGAAGGTATTAGTGTGTTCTCGGTCAACTCTGTCTGGTGTTATCTCTTTGTCTTGTTTGCACTGTATTATCTCAGGAAGTTCACAAAAGAACTCTCCATGCACTTGATGATATATTTAAGCAATTCTCCTCATGGAAGCTGACACTAACATAAATGATACCTTTGCTAACTGTTGCAATTAAACCATGACACCTTGTTTACTCAATATAATTACCTAGACTAACTGTTGAAGTTGACACCACATACACCTTATTTACTCAGTATAATTGATTTAGAGTAAATTGCAGTTTTTTTTGGACACTCTTAAACTAAACCTTTGAGGAACTACGTGGTTTTATGTTAAAAAGAAAACATGCACCCAAATTCGCGATGAGGACTTGGAATTGAAACCTGTTTGGTTTGGGTGTACATCTACACCTTCAGGCCTCAGCCAGCTGAGGCTCAAGTCCCTTGAAATTACAGTTTTGTTTGTTAAAATTACAGGTATGTTCATGTAAAACTAGGGGCACCACTTTCAAGTGAAAGCCCTTGGGTTTCTGCTCTTAAATCTTGCAGACCCAACAAGGTCTCCAAAATCCAAACTACACTTTCGTTTTTACTAAAAGTGATGGGATCTGGCAGTTTTGCACAAGGGGCCTTGCAGCAATTTCCTATTTAGACGTGTTGAACAGTCTTACTTACATAGGCCCGTACACCGTCTTCAACAAGAGTTGTCTTTACCTTTCTGTGGAAGATAACGGGGCTTAATTATTCTTTTTTTCTTGGTAATTTCTAGGGCTTTAAAGAACCAGAGAGGAGGAAAACATTTCAACGGGAAGCGAGATAGAAACCCTGATTCGGAGAAGAATTCTAACAAGGCCCAGAAGGTTGAAGCTGCTGCGTGAAGTTAACTTAGGTACCTTAGCTCGACTTGAGAAGTAACATGTTATGCCAGCATGATCGACTTCACTAGTCTCCAAGTTTGTAGAAGTGACTTGTTTTTATTGTTTTTTAGCTATCAATTTTCATTTTGGTCGTTTTGCCACCTTATTGGATGTTTATCTCTATGCTATAATCCTTTTGTGACACAAGGGGTCACCCAATGGTGTGTAAATAGAACGCACCAAGTTTAGGCTTCCCCTGCGAAACTGTATAGCCTTTCTATTCTTTCACTAGCAAATATGCCCACTTGTCTCGATTATGTCTCTTAATCAGAGGGTCTCTATCTCCGATCCAAATTATAAGTCGCTTTGATATTTTTTTTCATCTATTTTGCTATGTATCTAGACATATTATTATACGTCGATGCATAGCAAGATACATGTATAAAAAAAAATCAAAACTGACTTATAATTTGGAATGGAGGGAGTATATGACGGTAAACCAGTAAGGTACACAAAGCCTGCCACAACACAGCTTAGCAGTGATACAGTATAAAGCTTGCAACGGTACAGCTTGCGCTTGATGTGGTCACAAGCTTGATATGGTCATCTAACAGTTGCTTCCGAAACATGTCCCTCTGCGTTCTGAAATATGAAACTTCGCAAAATGGCATCAATTATATAACTTAAAAGTAAGGTCTAAAGCGCGACTGCCTTCCCTCCTTTTGATACAACAAACACAACTGGAGCGACCAGATACACGAGTATACACGACGACCAGCAAGGATCCATTCAAAGGGAACGAGAATCTCTAGTACCACACGCGAAATCTATGAAAAAAAAAACACTTCCTCCACTGATATCTCGAGGACTCGCACTAGGACCAGGCTGCCAGCTGACGCGAGCGGCGAGAGGAACAGAGGAGAGTGAAACTGTTCGTACCATCAGAAGCAGCCTGCCCGCCGGCCGGCGGCGAGGAGGGGAGCAACCGATCGGCGACGGCGAATCGACGCGCTTCCCACCCGGCGTCTCACGCCTGTGAGCGACTCTGGACAATACAAGTCAACAGGCTCCTCCGTTCGAGCAATGGGCCGGACGCGACGGGAAGCCCATTAATAGAACGCGGCCTAGTTTCTCTTTCTTCGCTCAGGTTGCCCTCCCCCGCCCGCAGCCGGTTGGTTGCGTTTGTTGCAGTCTTGCAAAGGCGCGTTAGTACCACATCGCTTAGCCAGGGCGAAGCGCGGAGGGACGGAGCTATAAAACAAGGGGCAGGGCACTGGAGCAGCTCATACCTTTCTCGGCCTTTTGGCTAAGATCAAGTGTAGTATCTGTTCTTATCAGTTTAATATCTGATATGTGGGCCATGTGCCCACTTCGATATTAAATTTATTTATTTTGGGGGAGGGTCCGCTAAAGTGGCTTGCCACTGGGGCCCTCGAGCGTCGCCTAGCCGTTGCACTGCTGGCTGGGCCGGCGCACCCCAACCGAAACAAAAGCAAATTTTGTTGGCTCTGCCAGTGGCCCATTGTTTTTTCTAGTTTTTCCGGTTCCTTTTGGTCCAACATGGGGTAAAATTGGGCACACCGTTGTCAAAGCTGGTTGGTCTAGTCGGTCATAACATACAGTCCCTTTGTTTAATTTATTATTATAAGCAAATCGATCTGAACCTTTGATGAACCATGTAATCTACTTTTCGCTCCCTCTCATCTATTCCGTGGAGTTAGTTAAGCAATCGATCTTCTGTGATGTGCCAACTTAAAGTTTTGCACTCTAATCTTTTTGCTGAACAGTTGTATACAACTGCTGTCATTCGCTGCACGCAGAGAAGCATATCCTCTTGCCTCTAAAGTGAAAAGGTAGTTCATCAGAGGCGTCCTCTTACCCGAGAAGCAATAAAGACATTTGGACGAACAGGTCTAACCGCTTAAGCTCTTCAAAAAAACGGTGATAGATAGATATCACACCGGTACTGTATTATTAATTGAGAAAAAAAACGAAAGAACACAAAAGTTGAATACAAGAGGAAAGAAGGAAGAAAATGAAAGGATTTCCCTTCAGGTACCAGCAGATACCGCGAACCTCGAACAGCGCACACTCAGGAATCAGGATTAACTCAGGTCAGTGATCCACCGCCAACCGTAGTTAGCTCCGTGTTAAAATTTAAAACATCACATTTACATCTTAAAATTTTCGTAAAAATAACTGAAATTAGTTAGAGATGACTAAAATATGAACCCCACGTCAAAACACTGGGCCCAAGCATCCCGTACTCGCAATTTAATGGCCTATTTGGGATGGAGGAATAGAAAAAGCCCAAGCATCCTGCACTCGCAATTTAATGGCCTATTTGGGATGGAGGAATAGAAAACATAGAAGGAAGAGAAAATACAGAAATAGGAAAAGAATGATGTGGTAAAAGAGGAATAAGAAAGCATGGAATTTTATAGGAACGAGCGTTTGGAATGTAGGAATGAGATAATGGAAGAATCTCATTTTTGTTTTGACCAGTGATGTCACTTTTTTGGTAAACTTGGTAGCATGAGATTAGCTTGGGTAGTTGACTACCTCAGACAAGTGAGACAGCAATGTGTCACGTCACTGGAAAATTTCCTTTAGCTTTAGTCTGGATGTTTTTTTCTCCTCCAAAATGCATAGGCGAGGGAAACTTTCCGGAGGGAAGGATAAGTTTAGTCCTACGTCCCAAACGCCATGAACAATGTATACAATATACAACAATATAAAATAGAGGAATCTTGATTGTCAGATTTTTCCTTTAGAAATACCACAGTTCAAACGGGTTAATTGGAGGTAACTCGTTATAACGGGTGTCTATTTCGTGATTAGTTTTTACTTTTGATGAAAGTGGAGGGGTTTGCACCTCTACATGATCGTGCAGATTAGTTTGGCTAGATATATATGTCGACCCACATCAAGGCCCTAAAACTAAAAGTCTTGCATTCACACAATAAAGTATATATGATCAACATGTGGGTCCCGCATTAGAAACATGAAACTAAAACTATTTGTATTATCTAATCACCCGTTTCTATTAATAGATAATTAATTGAGCTAAAGACTTACCCATAGATAATTTACTCTCCATATCAGTAGCGGACCCATAACTAAAATGAAGCACGGGCGAGACTTAATACATTGATTAGGTCATGTGATTTTGAAGCTTCCGACTAAGGGTGCTGCGATGAAGGGCTAAGCACGTGCCAACGACGGAGCCCGGGCGGGTGCCTAGGGTCGCCGGCCGTGGCGGAGCCTCTTGGAGGCGAACTTGGGCTCTTGCCTCCCTTCCTTCCCTATGTTGTCACTGCATGTAGTACTTTTCTCATCATGTTGCTATGTAAAAAACGGTGTTCAAAAAGGCGCTACTAGGCGCTCGCCTAGGCGTGCTTATGCGCTAGACAGAGGGGTGCCGCCTCGCCTAAGGGGTAGGCCGAGGATAGGAGCGGCCGGGACGAGGGCGGTCCGCCGGTGTGGACAAGAGAGGTGGCAGGCAACGAGTGGAGGCTAGGGCACAACTAGGAGGAAGGCGAGCTGCAGGCGCAGCTGTGTGGGCGAGCAGGTGTCAATGTCCGGCGGCCGCGCTGCCGTGGAGACGGTAGGTGCAGCCAAGAGGAGTGGGTGGCGTCGGAGGAGGGAGGAAGCACGCGTCACCAGAAAAAGGAGGGAGGAGGCGAGCGTCGCCGAAGACGAAAGCGGGGAGGACGGAGCAGGGAAGGGAGGCGGAGAAAGCAGAGTAAGGACTCTGGTTCGTGCGGCTAAGAGGAGGATGGTGGATGGATAAGGTGGGCTAGGCTTATTTGACGGCCTTTCTTCCAACTTTAGGTTTACATGTCTCTTATTTCTTCTTTTACTCAAGGTAATATATATGTATGTGTATAAAAAATAAAACACCTTAAAACGCCTAGGCTCGCTTAGGTTCTAGAGGGTGGGTCACCGCCTAGATACCACCTAGCGCCTTTTTGAACCTTGGTAAAAAAAAACTATTCTATAAAGCTACAAATCAAAAGTAGGAAACCTAGGCTATATAGAGAATAAAAGAAATGATAGGAGAGCCTAGAATATATTGCGGCTACCTGGTATAATTGTATTTCAAATTTTCTTAGCCCCCCTTGTTTCCTCTCCATGCTCTGCTGCTGGTCGCATCCACCAACAGGTATAGCCGCATAGGTCTAGTTGCTACCCTCTCGTTTCCCTCTAGCTTAGGCCCCATCTAGCACAGCTCAACTTTATTATTGAAGCTGTTTTTTGGAAAACAGAAAACAACTTCACGAGCAATTTTCTCGGTGAAGCTGAGCTGTTTTGCAAAAACTGTTTTGCAAAATAGTTTTACCAACAACTTCGTGCATGGCTGAGAGAGGAAAATGAGGAGAGCTATGAAAGCTATTTTTTTCAGTTTCACCTCTCTCCATTGCTTTGTTAGAGCGTAAAAAAGAAGTTTGACACAAAATAACTTACAAAAGCTCGTAAAACTGTTAGTGAAGCTATGCCAAACAGAACCTTAATGTGTTTTCAGTGACCCAATTCACCTTCTTCTCTCCTGAGTCAAGAGTCAGGGATGCACGGGAGTCTACATCCACACTTGCTATTCAGACTCATGAAGTCTACCTTAGAGCCTTAGATTATTATTGACCGGAATAGCATTGCAGACATTGACCTGTACCGGCAAGCTTCAAAAAATTGAGCACTCTACAGGACGTTTTTTTTTAACCGGCTACCTGAGTCATATGGCAATTCATAATTGAGGGTACGTGTACAGTTTAGAACCACAGCTGAGCTAGCTGGCTCTGCACGTTAGTGTCACGATCGCTAACTTAAACAGCAAATTAAAGCGGCAAGTGGGACGACTTCGAGTCGTCGCCCCAGGAACGGCCGTAGCAATCATATGACCACTTCAGCCTTCAGGTAACGTTTGATCAAACGAGGCGTGCATTTGATCTGCTACATGCACACTAGCTAGCATCGAACTCTAAACAGCAAGAAACACAGCGGCGACGCAAGGATGAGCTCGGTCGTCACGGCAATACTCATCGGCACGCAGCTCCTGCTTCCGTGCTTATTGGGAAGCGTGTCGCGAGCGTCCGGGCGGGATTCTGGATTCGCCGGCTGTCCCTTCAGCTGACTCCCTGGCTCACTGCCCCACCCGCTGCGGCGACGCCGAGTTCCTCTACCCGTTCGGGACGGAGCCCGGCTGCTTCCGTCAGGGCTTCGAGCTCACCTGCGACAACACCACCCAGCCTCCCAGGCTCTTCTGGGCCAACAGCAGCACCCAGATGCTTGGCACGGACGGCACAGATCACTACTTCGCCTACGCCTCGATCGGCTTCAATATCACCGTCACGCCAGGTACGAGTACCTACAACTACACGGGGTCCTGGGAGTCGCCCGCCAAGGGCTTCGTCATAGACTCTGACACCCGCATGTACCTTGTTGGTTGCGACGTCGACGTCGTCCTGTTCGATACTGGGACGAACCTGACCATGGGTTCTTGCTCGAGTTCCTGCCCGGGCGACAGGGCGACCATGGCCATGGGTATGGTCCGTATGGAGCCCGAAAATAATTGCAATGGGTTCGGCTGCTGCAGCATCGCCTTGCCAGAGTACCTCCGAGGCTTTCGGTTCACGCTGTCAAGTAGGGATGGCGTCCGAGCACCACCAGATGCTGTTTTTCCTCCACTGCAAAGGCTTTCTTAACTGATGGTGGTTATCAATTCAACACGAGCGACCTTTACTCGAGCTGGATAAACCAAAGTGTGCATACAAGCTTGGAGATTTTCGCAACGGATCAACCAAGTTGTGAAATTGCATCTGCGAACAAGGAAACCTATGCATGTAGCTTCGGCAGCTTATGCCAGACGGGAGAGTGGGGCGGTTACTTCTGTTACTGCAATCCTCGTGTAAGTGGCAATCCCTACATTTTGGATGGCTGCATCGAAGGTTCGTGACACTGCCCAAATCCTAATTAATTAGTTAAATGAAACAACTAGAACTTCATATTATTATAGTTGCACATGAGAATTTAGAAAATCTTGGGTCCCGATTAGTAGAGCTCCGGGCAGCTTTGGCTCTAGCTCCTCTATGCACTGTGATTGGTAGAGCTCCGAGCGGCTTTGGCTCTAGCTCCTCTATGCACTGTAACGAGGAGTCATTTTTCTCTATGCTCCCGAAAATGAATTAGGAGCCAGTGAAGCCACTATTTCTAGCTTTATTGGCTCTGGCTCCTTGAGCCAGAACCGTTTGAAGTTATGCCAAATAGGGCCTTAATGTTTGAAACATGTCTCCTCTTGCGTATGCTCAACAACCATCGAGCTATGGTGTATAACTTCTTCCTTCTTTATTTACACATATGCTTAATACTTCTCCCCTCTCGTTTTTGGAGCAGGTTACGACCCGTTCCTAAAGGAAATTGTAGGTCATGTGGAAACATGTCCATCCCTTTCCCTTTTGGGTTAGAAGAACGTTGCTCTGCACACAAAAAAAAATCAACTTAGCTGCGTGTCGAATAAGACAGTTGTTCTTGACCGAGGAGATGGCACAAGATTTGTGGGCGAATTTTTTTATTTTTTAGCCATTTTTTGAATTTTTTTCACAAATATACCCCTAGAGGTATGATTTCAAAATCTGGACCCTTAACTCGGCGTCATCTTTGGTGGCGTCGAGCTTACATGTCTCGGCGCCTAGGTCGGGGCCACATTGGCGGCGTGGACGCTGACATGGCAGCCAGCTCGGCACCGTGGATCTTGACGCCAAGCTCGGCGCCGTGGATCTTGGCGCCGAGCTTGGCGCCGTGATTATTGACGTCAAGCCCTGTCTTACGTATAGGCCCTCCCTTCCTTTCTCTCTTCCTCTCTCTCTACCGCTCCTGAGCCACCGCTACCACACCGCCGCGCCCGCCACCGCACGTTGCCCCGGCCGTCCCCGCCGCGCACCACCGCCGGCCCCGGCCCCTGCAGCGCCCGGCCGCGCCACTGCCGGTTCGGCTCGTCGCCCTCACCCACGCCCGGCGTCCGCTGCGACTCCGTCTTAGGGCCATCGATCCCGGCGTCCGCTGCGACTTCGTCGATGTCCGCAACCCCGTCCACATTCCTACCGCCGGCCGTCGTAGGGCCGAGGGCGGTGGCCTTTGGCAAGGGCCAAGGGGAGGGGGTGTTGTCCACCTAGAAGGCCACAACAGCCGCCATGCCTGAACACCTTGGATAGGGCTGTTTGCCTACAACATCGCCTGCTCAAGCTCTTGAACTCGTTGGACAGGTAAAAATTGTGAATATGCAATGTAGGTACTTAGTTAGCTTTGATTGTAGTGTAGTAGTTCAATTATTTATTATTTACTAGTTAATATGATGACTCAGGTAGTTGATTTAGTTAGTGATCTAGTGAGATAGATATGTAGATAGATAGAAACATAGATACATAGATATAGTTAGATAGCTACTTAGATAGGTAGTTATATATTTAGTTAACTAAATAGGATCTAGCTATTTAGTGAGTACACTGTATATATATACGTAGTTATTATCTTATTTACTTAGTTTGTAGTTAGAAAGTACTTGTTAGGTACTATCTATCGTCTAATTTGGACTAAAGGACATGTGTTTTGTTATGTGTTTGAACTAGATGGACAACCTAGTGACCATATATCATGGAGGCACCATTGAAAGCGATCGCTATGGATATGTTGAGTTTGTTGACATGCAAAGCGTGCTTATGCTATTCAATTATAGGCCTTCATTTAGTGAGATGGTTGCAAGGGCTCGGGAGGAGCTGCATTGCCTTGGAGATGATGATGATGGCATTGCAGTTGAGGGTGTATTGCACCTAGGTTCTTCTCCCAACATCCTTAGGCGAATGATCCCAATTGGGTGTGCGGATCAGTGGGAGAACTATGTGAGATCGGCTATGAAGAGCCAGCTGCAATGTTTAGACGTGGTTGTGCATCGGGTGTTAGTTGATCACATCCCTCATGGGTTTTCCCCACCAATGAGTAGCAGACATACTTCGACCCTCCCGTCTCGGAACCTAATATGGATGTGGAGGTTGCACCTACAGTTCCCGATGCTCAATCTGCCCACAATGAGCTAGTTGGAGATGCTTGTTAGACTCATGATGTTGTGGAAGATCCTCCTCATGAGATCCCTTTGACATCGAATCATTCGAGTAAGTGTCTTATCCGCATGGTTATTGGGAGCTTACCCCCTTTCTTACATCCATTTTTTTCATTCTTTCCTCATTTCTCTACTTATGTTGCAGGAGACATTCCTGACAATGTGGATGTGCCCCCTGTTGTTGTTGCGCAAGTGCACTGTGGAGATGGATTCCGTGGCTCCAATAGTGTTGAAATTATGAATGATTCGGAGCCATATGAGATGGCAAGGGCTCTTGATTCTAATGACGATCGCCCTGTGGGAGAGCTGATAGAGAGTGATGTTGAGATGCTGAGGCGTATCTTTCTCGGCCGCCATGATGCAAGAGTTCACGAGTTCAGTGATCTTGCTCATTCCGATCAGGCGTGTGCAGAAGGACGTGATGATGAGCTCCTAGAAGCTCTTGAGGCCGGCCCTAACATGGTAATTGAGAAGGATAGGGTATTCAAGGACCTCGCTACATTGAAGAGGTGGTTGCAGGCGTTTGCAGTGATATGAAAGAGACCTTACAAGGTCTTGCATTCATATGCGGAGCGCTGTTACACAGTTGTGTGTGAAATGGTTTAGTATAGCATCTAACATCTTGTTTGGACATGTTGCAGGTGTCGTGGGAGCCGTACGATGGAGAGGGGGCACTTCCTTTTCAGTTGAGCAACATGTGTGGGTGCGACGACGACTTCTACAGGATGAGGTGCCCTCTAATCTATTTCTATGCTACTGAGTTCCACCTGCCAAATAGAGTTGCACACCAATTTGGAGTGAGACAGCTTTGGTCACGTACGTTGTTCTCGTCCACAAGTAAGTGTTTTGCTATTTCAATTGTCTTGTGATGGTCCATTTCCATTAATTCCTATATAAGATGAAGTAATGATGATATAAGTGCACTTTTAATATGGTGACATGTACATGGATTGAGAAACTAACATCGTACGTGACGTGCAGGTTGGATCGTCAGAAGAACAGGAAGATTTTTGATTGGAAGAAGCACCACTAGTACTACCTTGAACAATGAGAGCTGTTTCATGACAACGTGGACGAGAACAACGAGCCGCACACGAACTGTGAGTACAGGCGCTACCAAGCTTGGTAACAACGTGCGACACGTTGCATGCTGAGGCTACAATGGACAGAAGATGACAACGCCGATGTCGAGTCCTCCGACGATGAAGACACGGCGTACGACCAAACTACTCGTGTAGAAAGGCAGGTGGAGGCAGGACCAATCTTAGACAGAGTGGTAAGTCAATTACCTTATTTTTCTATGTTAAGTTGCATACCAATCATTTAGCTAGGTTTCCTTATCATTGGTGCACATTCGAGTCATAGCATCCTTATAATTAATTTAATCATGCAACATAATCATGCCTTCAGAAGAGGACTGGATGGAGTTTGATTTCTTCCATTCTTTAGAGAATCCGTTCTGTTCATAAACCAATCATTTAGCTAGGTTTCCTTATCATTGGTTGGATGCAAAAAATAAAAATTGAACAAACCTACTACTAGCAGTAGATGTCAATCAGCTAGGTGTTTTGAAGACAATTCAGTACAACAGATGGAGTTGAGGAACAGGTCAGGAATTAATTAGTACTCCGTACTAGATTAGTAGTGTCCTCATTTTTCAATGTCCACCACAATCTGTACCCTAGTTCGGTACATGTTCTTACATGCCATTTCATGTGTTGTGTGTGTTGAATTATATAATGCCCTACTTCGTTAGGTTTTGTTTGCAGCACGTGATCACATTTCACTACGTCCGCAATATTAAACTAAATATTATGATCACAAATAATAAAAACAACTACATAACGAAAAGTCCAATACTATGACACATTAAACAACACAATAATACTAGAAGTACGTGCCGACAAACTAAATAACGCAGTACATGACCTAAGCATACCCATACTTAAAGTGCATTACATGACAATATAATTAAAAGTCCAACAGTAGACAACATTGTTCATGAATAAACCATAGAACTAGCAAGTAATGAAGACTACTGAGTGCAACGAGGCCACTTTTCCTTCCTTAGAGCATCGGGATTCTCCTCCATCGTTGCTTTTGCTCGACGTGCACGCTCAAGCTTCTTCTCCCTCTCCTTCCTGTACGCAGCAACACGTCTCCTTTCCTCCTCTTCCTTGTGCTCCTTTTTTGCAGCCTCCTCTCCGCGTCTCTTTTCCATTATCTCCTTGTCCTCTGCCTCCCACCGCAACAGTTTCTGCATCCATTCCTTGTCTTCAACCTTGATCTCAGTGTCGATACACTGCTCAAAATCACAGAGCGGTGGAGGGGTCTACAACAAATGCAATTGTTACAAAACAAAAAAATTATGTAAGATGTCATATGACACAAAATAATTATTACACAACATCAATTCATCACCATCTTGTTAATGCGGCGCTGACGAAGTGTAGGCTCAAACGCAAAATTGGAACACATCCAATACCTCTGCCTATACGTGTCATCTTCATCGGACTTGGCTACCTTGCAAGGATCACCGCAAAAGCACATGGGCACTGGAACACCACTATGCAGAGGCAATGGGTCGAAGGC